AATTTTCAACAAATTCATATTTCTTAACTGTAAAACCTAATCATTTGAGTCTCTATGTTTGACCTTACTATATAAACCCAACTTTATTAATCCAGCTAAGAACCAGTGAGTATCAGAAAAATATACTCAAACTTCTTCAAATGTCATTTTACTGAAAAATGGTTGTTGACAAATACTACAGGAGACAGGCTAACACTTTTGAGAAGGTGTGTGCTAAAGCAATCATTTCCCACAAAAATCATAAGAGAACTCAGCTCTGAGCCAATATGATACACACTCTATAGTCAATCTTGTTATATCACCTAACCTGTTACAGTCACACTTTATTTTCAATCTTGAAGAGATCTCAAGTTCTCCAGTTCCTCCTTCCCACAATCTATCCTTTTCCTCCCCCTCCATTCTGACCTCCTTGGGCTCCTTCCTCTCCTTTTCAAGGCTTCTTTCACTCTCCTCACTAGAGCCCATCGTGAGCCATTTCACCATTCCCCTTGCCACAACCTAGTTCATGTGCCACCCTATTTTGCCATGTGTTTTGCATCAGTTCCTTCTGTTCCCATATCGTCTATTCAAAAGTCTGAGGAAAAGTCATCAGCTTCTGAGACAACAAAATCTCTGCTGTGCCTTCTGAAAGCATTATCATCTCACAATGCTCAAGTCACTTCACTCTTCCACTTCCTCCAGAGCCAAGGACTAGTTACTAAATAAAACATAGCATGTGACTACACACATGTGCCCAAAAAAGGTAAATCTATAGATGAATAAAAATTAGATACGAGCTAGCCATGGGCGGTATTGCAACTGGGAAGGTACAAGAAATAATAATAATGTTCTAGCTTTTCATTGATTCTTTTATTTGTGAAAACTCCTATTGTTTATCTCCTTTACTGGATATTTGGATTTTTTTAAGTGTGATAAAAAAGATTTGCCGTCCTCCTCTTTATTTGAAAAAACTCATGGATTTTCTAAACTGTCACCCATATATAATCTAAGATCCTGAAAGGCTAATTTTTCAAATCTTGGCTTCATTGCACAGAAATTGGGAAATATCAGTTTATCAACCAAGGATTCTAGCAGCTCCTGGGATAAATTCCTTTGTTGCATACATTTGTGACTCCAAAAAGACTCTGGTTCCAGCCTGTTCAATGGGCTCCATCCAGGTCTTGAGATCTGCTTGCACAACACATAGTGATAGTAAGGTGCTCCTTATTCAAGAACAGACTTTGAGTCATAAGTTCACAAAGATGATCTCTGTACCACTCACAAATGGACTGTGAGATATACTTATCACTTCTACTTTACAGACCAGGAAGCTAACTATCCTGAGATTAAAATATGTATGGGAGTTTTTTTTTAAAAAGTAAATTAAAATTCAGGTCTTTCTTATGCCCAAGTTGAGGATTCCCCCACAAGTTACATATGACCACAGATAGGACAAATCAAAAGACAGTCGCTTTTTTTTCCTGAAAGGCCACCTTCTCTTTGAATTACCTTTTCTTTCTCTCACCCTCCTCACTGCTGATTCAGTCACTAGTACTATTTCCTAAGCATGAACATCACAGTAGTTATTCAGAATTCTACTGTATTTCTTTTAAATATTACTTTAATGGCATGCAAACTAAGTCTCCTTACTCAGACTTGGGTTCTTCTATTGCGTTCTCATGATGCTGTCTGAGAGTTCTTTGTACGATGCAAATCAAAGCCTCTTTTCTCACCGACACACAGGCTAAAATTACAACATACCACCATGGTCTACTTTCCTTGACAGCCAAGCATTCTAGAGCCTTCCTGTTAACTTACACTCCTTCTCAAAGAAATTTTTTTTGAGATTTTGCATGTCAGGACTCTTTTCATCTGGACTTCTTTTCTTACCGGGCAAACTTTTACTCATCTTGCAAGATGTAGCTCAAACATTTACTCTTTGTCGAGCTTCCAAGCACAGCTGTCTGCGTCCCTTCAATGTCACAGCTACGTTCTATACATCCTTCTCTTCAAACTCCTTTTATAATGTACTGCAGTCTGAACTCTACATCTTGAACCTATCTACAGGGGCAGACATATGCCTCTTCTTTTTTTTTTTCCTTGCATGCTTGGGAAGACACAACAGTGAAGTCCAAAGTAGTTAAGCAAGTAGACTAATAAAGAAAATGGATCATATGAAGGTATAGACAACTTCAGTCCCAACTTCAGTCTGAGAGTAAAATGAGAAAATGTTCTAAACAATGACAAATCAGACCATTCATGTTAGAAGTGATGAGTATAGCCCGAAGTCTAAGCTGTTGTGTTTTGTACACAACTTAGCTTTGTATATGTAGCCACAAGAAACTAAGATCTAAATCTCACATCACCTCCTCCTTCCTCCTCCAAAGCCATCTATCATACTCAGAATTACATCCTGGAGAGAAAGGAAAGGGATATAGGTGGTCTGTGTTGAGGACAATATCCTCCGGATCCCAAATCTCTGAGCCGAGTGTGGCTAACCACTCATGCTCAACTTCAAATTCTAGATGGAAAATACATGGCCTAAGACTTATTAGAGATTATTTTGAGTTGATCTGGATATACCAGAACACTGGATCTCTCCCCTGGATCAGCTAAACTGAAACAGAGCAAAAATAAACATCTTTCAGGAGTCAAGGAGATAGGTCAGAGGGCTAGACATATGTGCTTCACATCCAGAGGTATCAGGTTTAATCCTTAGAACTGCTACCTGACAACCTCTAGGAACAATCCCCAACCAACCACATGCCAAGAATTTCCCCTGAACACCACTGAATGTGTTCTCAAAACAATAAATAAATAAAAGTCCTAGAGAAGCTGGAAGACAGTACAGGTGGTAAAGTGCCTATCTTGCCTGTGCCCTTCAGGGTTCAATCTACAGCATCACATGGTTCCCTGAGCATCACTTGGTATAGCCTTGGAGGCCCCTTTGCATCATCAAAGTAGCGCAGCTGGCCCCAAATAGCCCAAGAAGTACTGAGAATCCTCAGGCGCAAGTGCTGAACTGGCCAGCGGGCTAAAAATCACCAGATCTTCCTGAGGACTACCTGGGAGCACCACCCTCCCACTAAACACACAAAAGCCATTTTTCAGATTGTTCTATCATCTCTAATATAAAAGACAGGGATCACGATCACGATCATCCTGTTGTTCATCGATTGCCTCGAGCAGGCACCAGTAACAACTCCTTCTTCCTAGCCTTGAGATTTTAAAAGAGTCATATTCAATGCACTTTCAGGGCTAGGAGAAGAGACCTGGTTTATCATTGTTTACTGGTATTTGGCATATTGAGTACAGCACGGGAAGATTGCCAGACTGTGCCGTGCGGGCAGGATATTTTCGGTAGCCTGCCGGGTTCTCTAAAGTAAAAACGAAATAATAAGATGTTGCGTGGCCACGAATGCGGCCACATGCTTCCAGGAGCTGGGTTTTATAGTTTCTGGGTCTTGACCATTGATGGAACAACCTGGCGCCAGCAGCAGGTGGTGGATGTAACGCCTACCTACTGGAAGATGGGGGATCTAGGTGGATATGGACTGGCACATAAAATAAAGGGCCAAGAATAAGAGTTATGGCTTTAAAGGGGAAAAAAGCAAGCAAAGGCCTAGGGGTCGGCAGACACAGATGAGTGTAGCCATGAAGCAGGAGAGGAGAAACTTGGAGTTTCAGAGTTGAGCCAGAGGCCAAGTCGTTGTGGGCAGGAATAATTAATCCACCCATCACTCCATGACACTTCAGAACCTTAAGTAAAAGGCAGGACATCAGATGACCGACAAAACTCACTCTTTACCACAGCAGAGAGGGCTGATTACAGCTTTCTAAAGCCCCTCCGTGCCATGAAGGCTGCAATTTAAAGACTCTCTCTAGAAAAAGCAGCAGTCAAGTAGCCCTGAGGATATGCCTAAAGGCAGTCACTACGTTGACATTCCACAAAGAGAAAAGGAGGAGAGAATTTTTTCATGAAGCCAAACTCTGGACTGAACTGCTTTTTCATACGTCCTCTCTGGAACAAGCAAAAAGCTGGGCAATGGCAGCTAGAACATGTAAAAAACCAGAGGGCAGCTGACATGAACTTCTCGCTGGCCTCCGTGCACAAAGGCCTTATTATAAGCCACACACAAAAATGCGTGGGCAAGACTTGGAGGGTTAGTTCCTCACCACCACCACCACCACCACCACCACCACTACCCCCACCAAACTCACTCCCAACGCTACGCTTTGAATGCATTTGTGTACACACACCCTCTGACAGGATCAGCGCTTCACGTTGCCATGGAGCTGAAACCTCTGTAGTCTAGAGAGAAGGATCACACTGCTTTTCTACTTACAACAGCAGAAGAATCACTGCATAATATTAGCTCTGCTTGGATTCCAGATTTTCAGCTGTGTGTCCCCATGGTGGCATATACGCTATACTGTTTGCCCTTACTTTCTGTACAATCACCACCATGGAAGCTGATAGCACACTGACTCTTGGTTTTGTCAATCAGTATGCAGAAACGTTAGCACATGTCATCTATGAGGTTCCTCCCTGGGGTCTCCTCCAGGGAGGAGGAGAGAGTTTGCAGCCTTGAAGCATCTCTGGGGAATTTGTAAGACATGCAAAAAAGGAATCCATCCATATTTAATAAACATTCTGTGAATCACATAAATATCATCTAACCAGTAGCTAATTTCTTTGACATGATACGTTTTTTAATACTCTGATGAGCACTTAACTTTAACAATCAAAATCACATGGATAAGACTTTTGCAAATAAAGATCTGCTTCTGTGAGAAGCTCTTGGCTCTCATTTTTAATCTGCTCTGCTCTTACTTTATGATTTGAAAGTCAAATATGGAATCTTCAAAACAAGCCCAAAAGCAGAACACAAAGGGATTTCCTAATGCAACCTCAACCGTCTTGCCACCCTTTCCTGAATTTGGCATTTTATAAGAAAACGGTGATGGGATTTATACAAAACCACATGGAAAAGAGTTAACGAAATGAATCATTTTCCTACCTGAAAATCTGCATTCGGTCTTATTCACACATTTTCACAATCTTGAGTTTCAGTTTCTCAGGTCAATTCGCCAATCTGCAGACAAGAAGTTTTGTATCATGACTTCTCCTCCCACATCAAAATGTGTGCATACATCAAAACTTGACATTGAGGGCCCGAGCAATAGTAAAGTGGGTAGAGTGCTTGCCTTCCATGCAAAGGACCAGGGTTCATTGCCTGGGATCCCATATCGTCTCCTGGAGCCCCACTAGCAATGACCCGAGTGTGTAGAGCCCAGAATGAGTCCTGAGGACCAACGGAACTTGACAGTGAAAATGACCTGAAGTGCTAACTAGAGCAAGCAAAATGGAATCTGTTGGCTTGAAGAATAATAGCATGAACACATGGAGGAGGGAAGAGATCAAAACTATGGGTACTGCTTGCTGTAGCAAGCTAGCCATTATAGTACTAGATCAGGGATTCCTAAATGTATTTGGCCTATGGTACACCTTTGCAGGAAAAAAATTAACTCCTCAGTGCCCCAGCCCCACCCTAGAACTCCATCTTCTTTAAGAAAACAAATAGAAAGTGACTTCCCTGGTCTAACCCGATGCCCCCTGCACCCCTGCCAGAGGTCTTACCCACTTTGGGCAACAGTGTGATGAGTACACAAAATTAAATGCAGCAAGTTAAGAAATAGTTTATGAACATCAAGATAAATAGTGATGACACTGTAGGATAACCCAAAGAATAAAATAAATAACCGTGAGCCCAAATCAAAGTTCATAGATTGTTTAGATAATCCCTACCCTTCAAGGAGTAAAATCTAGTCTCCAGTGAAGTGCAGGCTGATTTCCAATGAGTGAAATATGGAAAATGCTAAATGGTAACTTCATCATGGAAAAGTCCGGCCTATTATATCCTCCTGATGAACACCGATGGTATTTCTAATAATAGCAGCAATAAAAAGGACCCATCAGCTCTGGGGTCTGTTTCTGCCAAACCCATTCATACTTCAGTCTACTTCCTGGCCAAAACTCTTCCAAAAAGTCTCTCTTTTCTGAAACAAGCAGTATGCCATTGTATGCTACAGTAATGCCCTCATGTATTCCATTTATATTTTATTACATTCAATATCGTTAAGTGAGTAACCAATTAATACAAAGTAAACTTCTCAGGAAAACCAAACAATTCTCTGTTAACCAATGACTCACACAGCCTAACCATTTTATTTGGAAAGTGATTTTTATTTTCCTTTGATTTCTATACTGCCAAAGAATCCCCAAAAGCCATAAACCAAGTTTTTTTTAACATAAAGCATATATATTTTTTCACTATGACTAGCAGCCCCATGTCTATGATGGTTGATTCTGACATTTTCTTAAATAGACATATACTGTGTCTACTGCAAATAGACAAGCAAGGTGGATAGTTCATTATAAGCCAGTCACAGGCCACTTTGAGTACCAGAGCCAGGCGCCCAGGCTGCTGGCGGAGAGGCATTCCCCAGTCTCTTGGCAGGGTGACAGTAACCACAACAGTCTACAAGGAGGGTGGAGAACCAATGAATAAAATGATAAATATTTGTGATGAAGCAGGATGTTAAAGAGGAGGGGTAGAGAGGGCAGAATATCTTAACTACTGAGCTACTGGAACTGAAACAGTGCTCCCTCTTGCAAAACTCAGAGCAATAAACAGACCTTACCCCTTTGTTGCAAACAATCTCCAGAATAACTAGTGTCCAACCTCATCACCTAGGCACAGAATTGAAGACTTTAGGCACTGAACCATGGGAGTCATTGAGCACTCTACCCTCCACAAATGCTATGATCATTCATTGAAGCCAAGAGAGACAATGATAGAAAAATAATCTTCTTTTTATCTATTAGGTCAGAGAAGGCATTTTCTATAGCTCTGCTTTTGTTGCTGACTCACGGTATAATTTAAATGATTATCAGCTTAAGCCTCTCATCTATGATAATAACAGCAATACTATTAATAACAGGCTCAGGAGCTTCTCATCAATAGTATATTCAAGAAATTGTGAAATAAAATACTGTGTATCATTTATATTGAGTAGCAAGACTCAAAATTAAGTTATGTGCAGTCAGAGTATTCAGGAATGATTCAAAGAGTTTCAATTTGCCCGCATAATAATTCTGATACTAATAACAATGTAGGAAACAAAACAAAATGGTGAAATCACCAACAAGGTAATGTTCCTTTGGACCAATTATCTTTTCAAGAAAATTCTATCAGAGTTAGAGACATAGTGCAATGTGTGTGTGTGTGTGTGTGGTGTGTGGGGGGGGTGTCTTTGCCTTGTACCCAGCCAACCCAGGTTTCATGTACAGAAGGAAGAAAGGAGAGAAGGATGGAAGAAAGCAGGGAGGGGAGGAAGGGAGGGATGGAGGGAGAGACGGAGGGAGGGAGGGAGGGAGGGATTTATCACCACCAATGCCTTTTTGGAGCCCACAATACATATCTTATTTGCTTCACAACTCTCTTCATTATTGATTATTTGGTTAAAATACAACAAAAAAAAACAACAACCAAAACAGCAAAACTAAAGCAACACCTCAATTTTCTACTTTAAAGCATTTCTGGATAGCTCTTCTATTGAAAATGGCTTTATACAGATCAGTCATTTTGTTGTATCACCAGAGGGTCCAACAACAGGGTTTGGAAACAAGGAAGAACTGAGACAAGTATAGAATCTTCTTCCCTTTAGACTAAATATAAATAGAGAAATCTGCATCAATAGAAAACTTGAACTCCCAGTTGTTTTTAGATTTACAAAGCTCAAACTCCCTTGACTGAATTTCAACAAGCATTTGAAAAATTAGGGCGTTCGCCTTACAAGCAGCCAACATGGCCGACCCGAGTTCGACAAATGAAGTAGAAAGCAATAAATGAATTTAAAGACATATCTACTCTCTTCCTTCTGTTATACTACTCATTCCCAAACAAGATTTCTCAATCTCTTTATTAAATTTCTTTTCAAGAGTTATTTCCTGAAAAACATAGTAATCAACATTTCAAAAGCAATGTCAGAATAAAAAGATCACAGCAATCACATATATTCTCCTTTAATAATATTAGATATATTTCTGTATCAAACTTGGAAGAGCAAAGGAAAGCCTATGAGAAAAGTCAATAGGTACAGAATCAGAAATTTCATTCCAAGCACAATCACAATTGATACATTTCCTATCAGTGTACTTGGATATCAAAAGTAAATGACCGAGAAGTTGCTATCTTTCTGAATGAAAATACAGCAACTCATAAAAAAGAGACCATATAATCAAGGGAGATAAATTATACTTGTTTTTCCTCAAAGAAAAGTCCCACACTCAAGAATATCTCTAATAAGACTGAAGATATTATAAATGTAGACTCATACCTATAATATATTTAAGAATATATCTGTCAGCTAGGTAACATGGAAAACGCTAATTTTCATATTTCTTGGCTGGAATGAGAGATTGGTATGTAGTAAGCATACAACTGCTATGATTTCTCCTCCTCTACAACTTAATAAAATTAACTTAACTATATTTAGTGGGGGTGCTTTCCAAGCAACCTAGATAGGTCTAGAGGCCATTCCCATCAATTCTCAACCATCCAGGCTGGTGGTCCAATGCGTCTGCTCAAAGATGCAGTAAAACTTGGGCCCTGTAAGGCTGAGAGACTCCAGGGTCACCCAGAGGCCAGCAGGGTCACCTCCAGAGATGCTCAGTAGCCTATAGGACTACACCTGGCAATGCCTGGATGGCCACATAGTGTTGAGGACTAAACAGAGTCAGACACAAGTGAAGCATTCACTCATAACCCCTGTACTATCTCTCTGGTCCTCTACAGTTCCTTAATAACTTTTGCTTACTTTTTGACAATTAATTTTATATTTTGATATAAAAACTATCTTATGATATTACTCAAAGGAAATAATCATACATTAACTTTTAACTCTTCCTATACTCTAGGAAATACTGGAAAATATATTCAACTCCTGTCTTTCAGTCACCCTTGAGAAATATCTACCAATAAGACACCTATGATTAAGTTATGAGATCAACTATCAATAAACTAAATTCACCAAATAACCTAGATAAAAAGCAATTAAGTCAATACAAATAAAATATCAAAATGTATTATACTTTCTAAAAGGATATCCCCATTACAAAATGAAATTATTATTTCCTTAGAAGATACCAGCAAGACATAATTTAAACAATCAATAGGAAACTGCTAAAATGATATTTAAATACCAATGATATGAAGAGACATTTCTGTAATTAGACTTATATTTTAAAATCATGACATCAGAAAGCCTTATCATAAACATAAAAAAACACATGAAAAAATTTTAACATTTACAAATAAATATAGCCATATTTGTTATTTAAACCCAGTTAAATATGCGAATTTACCATCAGATTCACTGTATGAGTTCTTAAATGCAGTTTTCATCTCCTTTTTTGACTCAATCTATCTATATTTACCTTTAAATCTATTTTACATCCCCAAACAATAAAAATAAACAGATAATTCACTTCTACCAAGGTCACTTCCCGGTTTTTTTTTATTTAGATTTTTATTAGTGAAACACCATGAGGTACAGTTGTAGATTTATAAATTTTTGTGCTTGGGGACAGGGGTGGGAGGGATACTGGGATCAGTGGTGGTGGAGAATGGGCACTGGTGGAGGGATGGGTATTCGATCATTGTATAAATTTCTGGTTTTTATAAGATGCATGTCTACTAAGAATATAATACACTTGAAGATAGATTTTAAAAAGTAACAAATAAGATCAGCAGAAATCTGTACTATCTTCATGACTAACTTTCTAATAACTTAAAATAAATTTGAAATTCATCATAAATTAATCAGAAAATGCTGTTAAAATTAGCACTGTAGCACTGTCCCCCCGTTGTTCATCAATTTGCTGGAGCGGGCGCAGTAACATCTCCATCGTGAGACTTGTTACTGTGTTTGGCATATTGAATACATCATGGGGAGTTTGCCAGGCACTGCAGTGCAGGCGAGATACTCTCGGTAGCTTGCCAGGCTCCCCGAGAGGGGTGGAGGAATCGAA